TAATTCTGATTATGCTGATGCTGATGCGGATGCTGCTGATGATGATGCGGATGCTGGTGTTGATGCTGCTGTTGATGATGATGATGATGATTGTGATGATGATGATGATGATGATGATGATGATGATGATGATGATGATGATGATGATGTCGAGGATGATGATGCTGATGTTAATGGTGATGTTGATGTTGGTGGTGGTGTTGATGTTGCTGATGATGCTGATGATGATGATGCTGATGAGGAGGATGAGGAGCCTTATTTACTCGACGAAGGGGCCTCTTTGCTGGAACAGTAGAGTACATAATACAGCAAGGCCGAAGAGGAAGGAGGAGGAGGAGGAGGAGCAGGAGGAGCAGGAGGAGCAGGAGGAGCAGGAGGAGCAGGAGCAGGGGAAGCAGGAGGAGCAGGAGGAGCAGGAGGAGCAGGAGGAGCAGGAGGAGGCGGGGTTGCAAGACGAGGATGAAGAGGCGGAGTAGAAGGAGGAGGGGGAGGAGGAGGAGGAGGAACAGCGCACACCCAATAATGTGCGCGGCGCTGAAAGGGAGAGCCACATTTTGAAAACCACCCGCTCTCAATCCGTGAAGTTCTCGCAAAGTTTTAAACCGATGTGCGCGGCGTCAAGGCGATGGCCACATTTTGAAAACGACCCGCCATTAAGCGGTGAAGCTCTTGCACATTTTCAAGCGAATGTGCGTGGCGCTCAGGCGAGATCGCCATTTTGAAAACCACCCGCCCTCAATCCGTGAAGCTCCTGCAAGTTCTGAAGACCAAGGTGCGCGGCGCTAAGGCAAGAGCCGCATTTTGGAAACCGCGCGCCGATGCTGATCGCGTCGACGACGATGACGGCGTCCTCGCGTCTCGGCCGGCGCGCGAGAGTGGCCCGCGCGGTTTTCTCTGGCGCGGGTCGCGCCCCCCCCGGCGCGCGCGAGGGCGCGCGAACGAAGTCGGCGTGCGGCGTCAGAGACCTGTTTGGCAGAATTCCATGAAGATGTTGAAAAAATAAAACCGATGGTTTTTTCCTGGGAATTCGCAAGCGCGCAAGCTTTCTTTGAGAACTGATGTTGCGAAACCTTGTGTGTATTGAATGTTTTTTGGGCATTCGGTTTTGAAGGCGCTGCGAAGACGAAGGTTTTTGAAGGATTCCGGCGTGCGCGTGCGACGACGAGCGCGCGTGCATTTCGTGTCATCTTTTTGCTGAGGGTTCTCGTGATGGCGCGCGCGCAAGAGCTTGAGCGATTTCGACATGCGCGCCCGAAGCCCGTTTGGTGGCATTTTCTGAACATCTTGAAAAACCTATGGCTTTTATCAAGAACTCGCAAGCGCGCGTCTGGTGATTTGTTTAGGGGTAAACCGCGTAGCGAAACCATATGTTTAGTTGTTCCTTTTTTCCAGGGGGGGGGGGCGCTCGATTTTGAACTCCGCCCGACGCCGGAGGTTTTTTGAAGGATTTCGGCGCGCGCGCGACGACGCGCGCGCGCGCGTGCATGTCGTCCAATTCTGTCCACGGGAACTGTGGCAACTGATGGTTTTTGATAACCGAGTGTGCCCGTGCGCAGTTTTTTGAAAGGGGCTGGCGGGGGGGGGGTCGATGCCGGCTTTGCGGGCGCGGCATGAATTCATATTTCGGATGGGCGATGGGGCAGAATCGCACGTAGATTGCAATGCGAGAAGGTGGATCGATAAAGCCTGGTGGGTGGGTGGGTGGTGGGTATTTTTTTCGGAGAGGGGAACTGGTGGTTCGCGATGAGTTCCCCGCCCCGTGCTTCGCGCAAACGCCCCGCCCGCCCGCCCGCAACGAGGTTTGCAAAACCCATGCGGCGGCGGTTGCGATGAGTGCTTGGTTTTGACTGGCGCATCTCCGCGGCCGCGCCAGCCCGCGCGCGCGCGGCCGTCGGCTGGTTAGGCGCGACCGACGCGGCCTCGGTAGCGCTGGCTTTTCGGGTCGGCGACTTGGGCGGGCGCGGCATCGTGGCAACGTCGACAGCGGTTGACGCGACGATGGTCGTTGCGATGCTGGTGGCGATGCTGACAGCGGCGGCGGCGCGGCCAGTGACGGCGCCGATGCTGATCGCGCCGGCGACGACGGCAGCGTCCTCGCGTCGGTGGTGATGGACTTAGGTGTTCGACGCGCGCGCGGCCGACGCGCGAGAGTGGCCGCGCGTCATCATTCGGCGCGCGTCGACCCCCCCCCCAAGCGCGCGCGCGAATGCGTTCGAATGATTTCGGCGCGCGCCGCTGGGGGCCTGCTCGGCAGAATTCAATGACGATGTCCAAAAACCCATGGTTTTTCCCAGAGAATTCGCAAGAGTGCGCGCGCGAGCTCATTTTGAACGCATATGTTGCGAAACCGTGTGTTTTCTGCATGTGTTCGGGGCGCTCGGTTTTGAAATCCTTAAGACACTTATGGTTCTTGATGTGTGTTCGGCATGCGCGCGCGACGATGCGCGCTCGTGCACTTCGCCCCGTTTTTTTCCGCCAAAGCGCTTCTTGCGACAGCGCGCTTGCAAGGGTGTTCGAATGATTTCGACATGCGCGCGCGAAGCCCTTTTGGTGGCATTTTATGAACGCGAAGAGAACCATGTCCCCTCTCCCCTTATGCTGTGTGAGTGTATATATACATATGACATTCGATTATGAAGCGTTTGTGGAACCCAGAGTTTTTGCCCGGATCCGGCATGCGCGCGCGGCGACGCGCGCGCGTGTTCTCTTCGTCGCGTTTTTAGCAAGGTGCTAATCGAGTGCGAGAGTATATTTTTTGTTGCAGGGGATGGTGGGAGGTGTCGACCCGGCTCGGCTGGGGCGGCATGAGTTCGTTCTCAGAATGAACGTTTGGGGCAGAGCCGCATGTGCACTGCAATGCGTGAGGGGGCGCGGATAATGCGGGGGGAGAGGGGGGGGGGGGGAATGTATAATCTATTTGTGTGCGTTTTCTCTTTCGAACGAGTTGGCGCATCCATGGCATTGCAAACGCCCTGCCCGCCCGCCCGCAACTCGGTTTGCGCAACTCATGCGGTGGCTGTTGCGGTGAGTGCTTGGTTTTGGCTGGTGCATGTCTGCGGCCGCGCCAGCCCGCGCGTGCGCGCGCGCGGCGGCCGGCTGGTCTGGCGCGAGCGGCGCGGCCGCGATGGCGCTGACCTCTCGGCGAGGCCTAGCGGGCGCGTCAGCGTGGGTCGGCAACTTGGGCGGGCGCGGCGTCGTGGCGACGTCGACAGCGGTAGACGCGATGACGATAGTAGCGACGCTGGTGGCGATGTTGACAGCGACGACGGTGCGGCCAGCGATGGCGCCGATGCTGATGTTGCGAGCCATCTGCGTTTATATATTTTCGGGGCACTCGCTTTTGAAATCCCTGCGACACCTCGGGTTTTTGCCCCGCATTTCGGCATGCGCGCGCGGCGGCGCGCGCGCGAACTTCGTCGGGTTTGTTGCAGCGGGTTCTCTCGACAACGCGCTTGCCAGGGCGTTCGAGCGATTTCGACCTGCGCACGCGAAGCGCTTTTAGTAGCATGTTATGAACATAAACGGTGCAAAGGGTTTCTTGAGATGTTGCAAGAGCGCGCGCGCAATCTTTTCTGTTTACAAAAGACAAGTTGCGATATATATATATATATATATATATATATATCGTGTACGATCGATATATACATATATATGCTGATTTCTCGGGCGCTCGATTTTGACACCGTTACGAAAGCGAGGGCTCCTGAAGGATTTCGGCATGCGCGCGAAACGGCGCGCGCGTGCGCACTTCGTCCATTTTTTTGCAAGGGATTCTGACAACGGGTGATTTTTGATAAGCGGTTGTGTGCGCATAGTTTTTCCCAGAGGCTGGCGGGGGAGGTCGGTCAATGCCGGCCTGCTTTGGATGGTGTGTGTTCATATTCCGGATGGACGACGGAGCAGAATCGTATGTCAATTGCAACGGGAAAAGGAGCGCGGATCATCCATCAATGCTCGCAGTGAGTTGTCAGCGCCACTGCTCTCGCAATCATCCAGCCCACCCACCCGCAATTTGGCTCGCAAAACCCGTGCGTTTGCGATTGCGATGAGTGCTTGGTTTTGGCTGGTGCATGTCTGCGGCCGCGCTAGCCCGCCCGTGCGTGCGTGCGCGCGGCGGCCGGCTGGTCTGGCGCGAGCGGCGCGGCCGCGGTGGCGCTGACCTCTCGGCGCGTCCAAGCGGGCGCTTCAGTGCGAGTCGGCGAGTTGGGCGGGCGCGGTATCATGGCAACGTCGACTACGGTACACATGATGATGATAGTAGCGATGCTGCTGTCGATGATGACAATGGCGACGGCACGTCCAATGACGGCGCCGATGCCGATAACGCCGACGACGATGACGCCGTCGTCGGTGATGAAAGTTTTGGAGCCAGTTCGACGTGCGCGCGCGGCCGACGCGCGAGAATGGCCCGCATGGTGTTATTCGACACGGATCGTATCTCCAAGCGCGCGCGCAAGGGCGTCCGATTGATTTCGATATGTGGCGCGAGAGGCCCGTGTAAGGGGGAATCTGGGTGAGCTCTCGCCACATCTGACACCCCACCCCTCCCTCCCATCCCTTCCCATCGCGCTGATTTTTGTCCACCCGCCAACAGGTGTCATATCGGGGGGGATGGGGGGGAGGAGGAGTGGAGGGAAGGGGGGAGGGAATGGACGGACGGAAGGGAGAGGGATGAAAAGGAATAGTGCGGCACGAGGGGAGGAGGGAGAGGGAAAGGGTGAAGGCAAACCCGAACACAAGAGGGGGGGGCCCCGAGGTCCCGACCCCTTTTCCGGAACGGTTTTCCGTCATGTGTTTTTTGGTGGTCCCACAAACCGAGAACGGGCCCCGGAGGCAGAACTCGACGAAATTCATCCTGATTGAAGACGCCAGATACTCGGAAATCCGGGGGAATCGCGGGCAGAGCGTAAGGCCGCCCCGGGCCCGCCGCTGCCTCGCTGCCGCTGCGCTGCCGCCGGCCGCCCCCACGCCTCCTGCTACGAGCGGGCCTCGGCCCCGAGGCGGTGCCGCCGATGCCGGAGAGGATACCGTCCGACTGCCGCCACTTCCTAGAGCGCGCCCCCCGCCGCCGCCCCCGAGGCTTGAAGGGGCAACGTCAGGGGGGGGAGTCGGCTCAGGGTTGTGTCGTCGGTTGGCACAGACGCCCTTTTGCAAAAATATTCGATTGCGGAAAAATGCCAAAAACATACTTGCATGAGTACGCGAAAATTGCCAACAATATGCGCAGACAAATATATGTGTTGTGCGCACAACTGTTGTATACATTAGTTCGTGTGTCTCTCGCATTAGAGGGGCGTGCCACGTATCTTTCGCGAACCGAGAGCTATTTGGCATATCGCTCCAATGCAGTTTTGTTTGTATACGGAGGTTGCGCCGCCGCCCCCCCTGGGTTCAGAGACCTTGGCTGCGTTTGCGCCTTCTCGGGGCTTGTACGGGACTTCGGGGGCGTGTCGCGGGGGGCCTAGGAAGCGTCCCAAAAGGGCCCAAAAAGGGCCCAAGAGGGTCCAAAGAAGGACTCCCGACAGTGGCACCTGGAGGGCCCTTTTGGGTGCCTCTGGGGGGGTTCTCCTCCTTGGGCCCTCTTGGGCCGTTCCTTGGGCCTTTTGGAACCCCGTTGAACTCTCTGGGGGCTCATTCGGGACTTCGGGGGGGCTTCGGCGGGGCCCCAAGAAGAAGGGCCCAAGAGGCCCAGGAAGATTCCAAGAGGGTTCCAAGAGCGCTCCAAAACGGCAAGTATGTGCACGAGTGTGCCTCTTTTTGTATGCCTCTGGGTGCAACATTGGGTCCTTTTCGTGCCCTTTGGGGGCCTCTTGAGCCGTCCAGGGGTTTCTTTGGAATTCTTGCGGGGCTTCGGGAAGGCCCCGAAAGGGGTCCTGCAGGGCCCCGGGAGGATGAGGCCTGTTGGTTTTGTTTTGAGCTAGTGTTGCGCCGATCTAGAAGTGATTTTCCGGTTCCTCTCAGGCCGTTTCGGGGGGGGGGGGGGGGGGCGACGTGCGGGGGGTGGTGGGGGGGCGGCGTAGCGCGGATGGGTGAGCGTTGTCCTTGTGGGCGGCGGTGGGTACGGTTGTCTTGAAGGGCACCGCGATCATTTGGCATGGGCCGGGTGCGACCGGCGCCCTGATGAGGGCCGACGATGAGGAGCGCGCGCGCGCGCCGAGCGCAGCCAGGCGTGCCCAGAGACGCCCTTAATTTAGGTGTATATTTTGGGCTTCTTGTTGGCATTCTTTTTGTATTTCGGGATTTCGGCATATCGTTTTACAAGACGTATTATACATCTGCTGGCGGAACAGGAGCGAGGCCGCCAGGAGTGGACCTGCGCCCCCCATTGGGGCTCCAGGGCTCACTTTCCTTTGTTTTCAAGGGTTTCGGCGTTCCAGGGCCTCCGAGGCGCCAGCGTTCCAGGGCCTCCGAGGCGCCAGCGACGGTTCCAGGGCCTTTGCCAGATCTCCGAACACATCTCCACTACCATTCTGCAGAGGCCTGCCGCAGGTCCCAGGGCACGCACAGAGCTCCAAGCGGTCAACGGCCCAAGAGGGCCCCAAGACGGCACAAGAGGCACCGAAAACGGCCCAAAGGAGTTCCGACACGGAGCCGAGAGGCGAAACAAAAATATCACAGAGGCCCTCCACATGCCCAGGCCGCCCAAGAGGCCAAAAAAGGCCCCGAGATGCACCAAAGCATACCCCAAGAGGCTTGAACAACTGCGTCTCACCCTGCTTCTCGTCCGCCTTATCACCTTCCTGCTCCTCATTTCTTCTGGTTGTCCAGCTCTCTCCCGGTCTCAAGAAATATAAACATATTCCCGGAACTGCCAGGAACAGCATTCCTCGAGTGTTTTTTTTGTTCTTCGCCGCCCTGCTCGATCGTCATTCCCTGATCCTCCGCCTGCTGCGGCTGCGCTTCATGCTACTCCCGCACCTCCCCCTTCCCCCTCCTCCCGCTCCCCTTCTCCACCTTCTCACCCACCTGCTTGTGGAGCTCTCTCCCGGTTTCTCGCAGTATGTTCCGGGAGCGCCTGCGGGGAACATAATTTCTTGGTTTGCATTCGAGTGTTTCTTTTGTTTTTCGCCACCCTGCCTCTTCGACTTCTCCTGCTGCGGCTGCTCAACATGCTACTCCTGCACCTCCCCCTGTCCTTCTTCTACCTCCTCCTGCTCCCCCTGAGCCTCCCTTCCTCCCGCCCCCCTTCTTCTCCTCCTCACCCTCCTTCCCTTCCGCCTTCTCCTTATGTCCTGTTTGTTTTGCTCCCCCTCCTCTTCCTGCCGCTCACCTTGTCCTGCGTGTCTGTCCTCCTCGTCCTTCTCATCCTCCTGCTCCTCCCCCTCCTCCTTCCTCCTCCTCCTCCTCCTCCTTCTCCTCCTCCTCCTCCGCGTTTTTTCGAGATTCCTCCTCCTGCTCTAGCCCTCCTCCTCCTTCCTGTTCTCCTCCTCTATTTCGGGTTCCTCCTCCTGCTGTCGCGAAATATGTTTTCGGGAAGCTTCCCGGGAATGTACTTGCGCGTGCCTCCCTTTCTCCACCTCGCCGACATTGCCCTCCTTCTCGTTCCCCTCCCCTTCTTTCTGGGGCCCCTCCCCCTCCTATCGCGCAAGATGTCCCCAGGGAGACTCCCGGGAACACGAGTCCCATCCCGTTGCTCAAGCGCCTGATCCCTCCTGGGCGGCCCTTCCCCCTCCTCCTCCTTCCTTTGATCCTCATCCTCTGTCTGCTCTTCCTCCTATTCCTGTTCCTCTCCCTCTTTCTCCGCCTCCTCCTGCTTCCCCTCGACTTCTCTCTCCCCCCCTTGCTTCTGCCGCGTGTCCTTCCTCGTCGCTCCGCGGGTCGCGGGGCCGGAGAGTCTCGGGGGCCGATGGGCCGTGGGGTCGCGATTGAGGATCTTCGACCCTAGAGGTCAGGGGCGCCCAGGGACCGAAGGATTCGGAGGACTCCTGGGGCCGACTTCAAGGGTCGCGGGGCCTACGGCCCCCAGAGGTATCCGGGCCGGGGGTGGGCGCCCGGGCCGGGGGGGCGCCCGGGCCAGGGAATGGGGGGCAGGAGGAGGAAGGGCAGTGGATATTGAGGAGGGGGAGGAGGGGGGGGGAGGAGGAGGAAGGGGGGGAAAAGGGGGGGGGGAGAGGAGGAGGAGGATAATAACGTGTAGGAGGAGCAGGGGCAAATGAGGAAGGAGGGGTGGAGGAGAAGGAAGGGAACAAAGGAAACGGAGGAAAGAGACAGGCGAGGAAGGGGGGGGGCGAGAGGACGAAGGAGGAGGAAGAAGAGAAGAAGGAGGAGGAGAAGGAGGAGGAGGAGGAGGAGAAGGGCGGACATGCGTGTTCCCCAATATCAGAGCTTGCCTCTGTAGGGGTCCTAGCGGATTGAAGGTATAGGTGAGAGGTGCGGCTGATTTCGGTGGCGGGGCCCGGGTGCCTGGGTGCCCAGGCGCCTGGCGGTGCCCGGGTGGCCAGCGAGGTTGGTCGCCGATTTCGGTGGCCGGGCCTGGGTGCCCGGGTGCCCGGGGGCGCCCGGGTGCCCGGGGGTGCCCAATAGCCCTATAGCCCTATAGCCCTACAGCCGTATAGCACTGTGGCCCTAGAGACCTAGAGCCCTATAGCTTTAGAGCCCTATATCCCTATAGCCCTATAGCTCTATAGCCCTATAGCCCTATAGCCCTAAGGTTCTGTAGCCCCTATAGCCCAATAGCCCTATATCACTATCCCCCATAGCCATATAGCCCATATAGCCCGATAGCCCCGTAGCCTTATAGCCCTATAGCCCTATAGCTCTACAGCCTTATAGCCCTATAGCCTTATAACCCAATAGCCCAATAGCCCTATAACCCTATAGCCTCATAATCTTATAGCTTTATAGCCCTACAGCCCCATAGCCCCAACGAACATCTGATTGGGTTTTTCTCCGGTGTCATATATATATATATATATGTATACATATACATGTGTATATATATATATATATATAAAAGCATAAAGCCTGCCTTGATACTTCTGCCGGCCCTTGCCGTGATCTCGGCTGGAACCAAAGCGCGCGCGAAAAGCGCGCGATGGTGCAAGTGCATATATATATATATATATATAATTAGGTGTCGAGTTTCACAACGCAGTGATAATCGTATTCTATTCGTTTTATTGTAGTATTTCGTAGATGTGGCAGTTTGCTGAAGTTGTAATATAGGTGTTCTGCAAAACCGATCGTTGTTTCAAACGTTGTAGTATAAGAGTTTTGAAAGCGCGGCGCTTTGACAGCCGGGGGGAATTGCGTCCGGGCTGTTTTGCAAAACGCGCGCGCCCGCGTTCGCCGGCGCCGTATTAAGAGCCTTGGAGGGCCCGAGGAGCCCCGAGACCGGTCGAAGATTGCCGCGGGCAGATCCCATGGGGGCCGGAAGGGGCCCGCGCGGGGGCCCGAGACTGCGCCGCGCGCGTTGTGTGACTCGGGGGCGCTCTCGGGACCCACCAGTGTTTTCATGTCTCCGCGCCCTCGCACCCCGTCGCGGAGGCCACTGGAGGGCCCCATGGGGCCAAGAGAGCTCCGAAGAGCTAGCTCCTCTCGGGGCCCACTAAGGCGTCTTGCGCCCCCAAGGGCCCCTCCCAGGGCCCCTGGAGGGCCCGGGGGGGGGGGCCTAAGGGGGCCTCCCTGCTGTCGAGGACGAGGGCCGCCATCTTGACCGCAGGGGGCCCCTCTCGGGGTCTCTTGGGGCCCTCTCGGGGCCCTGCCTCGCAGGGCCTGTCCGGGTTTGGCGCAGCGAGGTGCGACCGGTTCGGCCTGCGCGAGGTTGGGCGCGCTTTCGCGGGGATTCGCGTGCGTCTGTGGGATTTGTCGCATCAGTCGCGCTGTCGTGACATTGTGTTTCAGCATCAGGCTTGGGGTCAAACAGTAAAGTGGCGCGTGCCCGCGTTGATCCTCGTTCGAAATGGCGCGAGGGGTGGGTTAGAATGGGAGCGCCGAGGAACAATTGTCATTCGCGCGCATGGCCCCGCGATAGAAACCGCGAGAGGCGACTGCTTACTGCTTGAGCATCCGTGCGCTGAGCAATTTTGTGTACCTTGGGCTTGTCGCGAGCTG